CCTCCAAAGGCAGCAGCAGCGGCACGCCCTTCTGCACCTCGCAAAATAAGCAACATGATGCATACATACATTTATATGTATATATACATATATACATATATACATATGATTAAATATGTTCAAAAAAGAATGAGGGGGACACAAAGAAGAAAACAACGAATTGGGTGCAATAAGGGTTTGTCTCTTTGTTGAGGCTCGCTCGGATCCCCCTTTCTTTGGTTGGCTTTAAAGGAAACCAAAGGAAAACCACTATTTGGGGATGGGGGGTCCACCTAAAAAAAGAAACACTGTATATGGAAACTCCGCAGCAACCGGCTTTTTAATCTTTGTCGACTCGTTAGCTCCGTTGAGAGCAATCCATCCAACGCTTGTCACAAGTTCCAGGGGTCCGGGTTCATGGCCATCCCTGCACAGCGGGGTGCAAGGGCGTCCCAAGCAAAACGACTGACCTTTGTCCAGGGCTCCGTTTTCCTCAAAGCAAAACGCAGGGCTTCCTTTCAGTAAATGGGTGCCCTCAAATAAAGACAAGCTCAAATCCACCCAACCTCGGGTGTGTTGTGCTCCCGCTTACGGGCGGATCTCAAAAAAGGACCAACTAACTGATGCTAGCACGCGTTGGTCGCAGGCCAAATACGTCAACTTCCGAAATGGCACCTCTTTCCCGATCCCTTTCCTCCCCTCCCCTTTCCCCTTCCCCTCTCCCCTCCCCATTTCCCCTTCCCGTTCCTTTCCCTTCCCTCCTCGCCTCTCCCCTTCCCCTTCCCTCCTGGCGAACAAGTTGCCCCCACTTGGGGCTCATTTCCTGTGCAGCACAGAACCGTCCCATGGGTTTGGATCCCCACAAAGTCTTCTGCTCAATTGCTAGGTCCCCCAGACATGAAGCAGGTAGTAAATGCTACTGGAGAAAACTACCTGACCCTGCATGCTACATCATGCACTGCAACCGCCAACGTACAAACAAAACTGGCCGCTCTACAAATGTCTTGTTGGGCTTGGAAAGGCCCCAAAAACAGCTGTTTGTTTGATGCCGCTGGGGGAATAGCACCAAATCGTTCTTTGATGCTTGAGTGTTTATTTAAGGCCTGTCCCCAACGGCCAATGTACAAAGAGCTACACGAGAAATGCAAACACTCGCGAGGGCCGTAAAAACTAGGGTTCCCCTTTTGGGGATCTTCAAAAGCCGCTTTTTGTCAAGACTACCCCTTTTTGGGATCCCCTCTTTATCGGCAGCCTTTTCAGTGAAAATCCCGCATTCGAAAGGCCCCGCCAGTGCCATGAACACGTAGGGTATATTATATGTTGCAATCAACCCTTAAAAAAAACTAAAAGCAAAAAAGTGGCGCCAGTGGGCCTCCACCATACACCCCTCCCCCCCCAACAAACAAAACAAAACAAAACAATGAACAAAAAAAACAAAAAATACAACAGAAAACGGGGGCCCCAAAACACCCAGGGCCCCACGTGTCCCCCGCCCCTCGGAGCGCTCCAAAAGCCGCGGGCGCGTGGTCCCGGAAGAACTCCTCGGGGCTCCTCGCCCCCCGCGGCAGCGGCGCCAGCGCCACCGCCGCGGTGCCCGGCAGCAGGCCCTGGCCACAGCGAGCGGTCCGAAAAACAACTCCCAACCCAACCAACCAAACCAACAAACAAACAAACACAAAAAAACAAACAAACAAACAAACAAAACAAAACAAAACAAACAAACATAAAACAGACAAACAATCAAAACAAACAAACAATCAAAACAAACAACCAATCAAAACAAACAAACAATCAAAACAAACAAACACACAAAACAAACAAACATGCAAAACAGACAAACAATCAAAACAAACAAACAATCAAAACAAACAACCAATCAAAACAAACAAACAATCAAAACAAACAAACACACAAAACAAACAAACATGCAAAACAGACAAACAATCAAAACAAACAAACAATCAAAACAAACAACCAATCAAAACAAACAAACAATCAAAACAAACAAACACACAAAACAAACAAACATGCAAAACAGACAAACAATCAAAACAAACAAACAATCAAAACAAACAACCAATCAAAACAAACAAACAAACAAACAAACAAACAAAACAGACAAACAATCAAAACAAACAAACAAACAAAAGAGACAAACAGTCAAAACAAACAAACAAACAAAGCAGACAAACAAACAAAAGAGACAAACAATCAAAACAAACAAACAAAACAGACAAACAAACAGAAAGCGGGCGCAGAAAGGCGCAGAAGTTGGGCTTAAAGGCGGGAAAGCAGCGGCAAAGAAAGAAAAGAGAAAAGTTCTGTCTGGGTATCAGCATCCAGGTCTCCAGTTTCTACTACATTGCAACAAAAATGGGGACAATCAACAACCTAATTCTCTATTTCGTGGCTTGGATTGGCAATTTTGGCATATGGATCCCCCCACTCCCTCTTAGAACCAAAGGGAAGGTAGCCCCATAGCCTCTAAGCCGACCAATTAGCCGTAGGCTGACTACGGTCTCCAAAATATCGTCCCTATTTCCTCTCTCAAAAAGTACGCTAGTCTCGCCAAAGAAGTTGCAGTTGCAGCTATCCACCGAGCAGGCCCCCTGTACATCCCCTTTAAACAACACCCCCACCCACCGGAAAACTCATGTGAAAAACCAAAGGGAGATGTTTGAAACTACCAAACGGGGGAATATAGGGAAATTCAAATCTCGGACGATCACACAATCGCATTCGCTGCCCACAACCCATATATACATGTGGCTTGTTCATTTCCAAGAACAAGCCCTTCTTCCTACACAGAGATCCTGAGATTCACCTAAAGATCATGGACTTTTGGCTTCCACCAAATAAAGAGATCCCTCTAAACATCATGGATTCGTGGCTACCACATGCCAATAGAGCTCAGGTACCTGGATTCTTTTTTCGGCGAATCTGGGCATGTTCACCCGGATCCAAGTGGAACCCCTGATGGATTTGTTTTGCTCATCGGAACATTTCCCCTTTTCGCTGGCCCATGAAAGGATAATGAAAGATGAATGAGGAAAGAAGTAGAAAGACACACAACATCGAGAAAAGAGACCTTCGTGCCTCAGATAAAAATCTATAGCCCCTGCTCGCCCCGTTTTCGCCCCGTTTCGCCCCATTTGGAGCCGCGCGGGGCAGCTCGAGCCTCGGGCTCCTCGCGCCAGCGCCAAGCTGCGAAGACCAGGAGCCTCGGCTTGGGCGAAGCTGTTGCCTGACATTTCGAGGGGGTGAGTCCGAAATCCGTTCGTTTCAACCCTCGTTCTTTTCAAGACCCATCAACTTTCCCCTTTCTGGAGGTGTTCTAGAAAGATCCGGATGCCTGGGTCAAGAATGGAAATGGAAGTTACCCCAAGTATCCTTCGCAAACCTTGAGCCAACACCGCCAGGATTTGGGAAAAAGGCCCTTTCAGGCTGCTCCCTGGCAAAAATGCCAAACAACGGGGGTCCATAAGCACTAGAACATGTCCCCGAAATGTCGCGGCTTCGAGACCTTCGAGTTCGATTCTGTCATTCTCACATCGGCTTTCTGCGGGCGGAAGCGATGAGGCTGGCCTTGCACTTGTTGCCTGGCTTAGCATCACGGCAACGCATCAAGTCTGGGCTGCCCGCTTTTCAGATCTAATAAAGTGAGACTAACTCGGAAGCCTAACCACTAAACCAACCAAAAAAGATTATTAAAAAGCTAAGGAACCGGATGGCTGGGAGCCACCAAGAAGTGGCAACCGAATGTCAAAAGATGTGGAAGCGGGCGGAAATTGGGAAACCAAAAGGCATCTCTGTTCTTCAGGGATCCTCAAAGTGAGCCGAAGCGATTCAATTCATTTGGGCGACCTAAAGGAGATTGGTGCCCCCTTATTTTGAAAAGCGTCCGTTTGTGCAATGCTTCCCTTAAATCTTGGTAGCACGTCGTCGGAGGTAGAAAATTGTGATGTCGCTTTTTGTTGCGTGGATTCTCATCCACGTGACCACCGTCAGGTAGTTGACCACCAGAAAAATGGATTTACTTCACTATGTAGGGGAGCGTGGCAACCGGATTTGTCCACAATCATGAGTTCGTCTCCCATCCCTGTGTTTCCCCAAGAGGGCCACTATAAAGGTAAGCTGAGCCTAAATTGGCCGAGACAATCCTTAACACCAAGGGAAATACGGGGAGCCCTGTTTGCTAGAGCCTGCCAAAAGGAAACCTTTCAGGCAAGTGTCGTAGCAGCCAGGGTGCGCCAGCCCAGCATAGCTGCGCAAGGCGAGGCACTGCGAAAGTCTTTGTACAGAACGCGAAATCGAGGAAGGACAAAATTAACTGCTGACATGGATACAGCTGTGCATTTGAGAGTCCATGTATACATACATTCACATACGCATATACATATCTACATGTATACATATACACATATACACATGTATATATATATAGTGTCTTTCAGAAAAAAAAAAAAAAAAGAAAAAAAAATATATAAATATATTATAGATGTTCCAGCAACTACTTCATGGAATCCAACACCGGCTGCTGAGAGCTTCGAAGCGGAAGGCCGGCAAGCCGCCGGCGCCGGTGGCTCCCCACCCATTCGACTGGAAAACTGGGGAAGACATCCTGCAAAAAAAAAAAAGAAATGGTGTGTGCGCCTTTCTTGTTGCTTTGTTTTGTTGAGAGTTCTGTGTTTCATGGTACCCTTTTTGGCGTGCTTATTCTGAGGAATTTGTTCGATGGTACCCTTTCGGGGTTGGTTTCGAGGGAAACCAACCTTCTTCTTCGTTTCCGTTCTTTTTTGGGGGGTCCCCTCAGAAAAAGACAGCCTCATTTGGGATTTATGAGACAAAACTCAGAGAGTCCCCAGCTTAAGTCTCAAGGATTGTCTTCTTGTACTGCTTTTGTCCGAAAAGTCTCGCCATGGGCCCAGTGGACCAAGTTGCTTCACGCGGCCGATTTTTTTCCCGGCCAAAGGGCGGCCGAAAAAAAACGGCGCGGGGTCGGAGTGTCTCGAGGCTCGGACGCTGGAGGTTCTGTGCCAAGTCGGCGCCCTTGGGGTGCTGGCTGGTGATGGCCTGACTTTTTTGGGGGGAAAGCTGCTCAAAGGTGTCTTTCTTTTCAAATTTTACTTTAAACAAGAAAATGAAAAAACAGCGCCTAAGATGGCTTTCTTTCTTTTCCTTTTGTTTCGTTTGGTTCCCCTTAAAAACTTCAAGACAATAAGGCGTGGTCCTGTGTTAAACTGCTGGATTCACCCCTGGACATCATATCCATCTTCAAAGCCTGGTATCAAAATGGCCCCCAAGGCTTGCCACCCATTTCTGGCTGGAAAAAAGTTAGCCTTCGTATGGGCTTTTGATTGTGCCTTGGTTGAGAGCCAGCACCAGTTCCGCATCGGAAGCTTTTCGGAAAAGTGGACCTGGTATTCAAAAAAAGAAGAACACACACACAGAAGGAAGGAAGGAAGGAAGGAAGGAAGGAAGGAAGGAAGGAAGGAAGGAAGGAAGGAAGGAAGGAAGGAAGGAAGGAAGGAAGGAAGGAAGGAAGGAAAAAAAGAAAGAAAGAAAGAAAGAAAGAAGGAAGGAAGGAAGGAAGGAAGGAAGGAAGGAAGGAAGGAAGGAAGGAAGGAAGGAAGGAAGGAAGGAAGGAAGGAAGGAAGGAAGGAAGGAAGGAAGGAAGGAAGGAAAAAAAGAAAGAAAGAAAGAAAGAAAGAAGGACAGAAGAACAAAAAAACAAGAAGCAGCAACCAACAGAGCGACATGGCTGACAACATGACCTCTAGTGTCCCTTACCTTTGGAAATGCAGACCCTTGGAGGAAGGGACTCTTGTGCTGACCGGCATTTCAAATGGTTATGCGTCATTTGGTTGGAACCTACTAATGTTGACCCAGGATTAATAAACCCGTCCCATTATTGCGGGAGGTTCCCTCCAAAAGTGATGAATCCCCACTAAAAGGGGACACCCCCTATTAATCAATAAGCGGTTTGTTAATCCGGGGTCAACATTACGAGGCATTTATCTGAGATGCATAATCGCAGCTTGTTTGGAGGGGCCCCGTTTCCTATTGCCCCGTTTCCTATTGAAGTTCATAGCCAGGCCTGGAAATAGCGACTGAAACCAGCAAAAGCTATGATGGTGGAAGCATGTCAGCCTTTCTGTACTATCCAAGTGGGTTCCCATGCCACCACCATATCTCTTTCAAGCGAGAGACAGCAATCAACAGGAAACGATGCTAGCTTCGGATGAATCCAGGCTTAGAGCAGGGGAGGTTAGGACAGTGATTGGGGTTCTCCGGATTGATCCTCAGTCAATGAGAGGGGAACCTGCTCCAGTGGTTCAAACTGGACCTTGAAACTGGAGGCAAGTCGCAAACTCGTGTTCGATTTTCTGGGAATCTTCACCTCCGATTCATCGCGAATTTTCGTGGTTTGGATTCGTGGTTTGGTTTTTTTGGGAGTCCTTTCCCTTTCTCCAACAACAGCAGGTCGAAATCCCCAAACCAGTCCAAACCACAGGGACCACCAGACTTGTTTCTTTTGGCAACTCGGATTTCTCAGCCCCGCCCAAAAGCCTTTTCCGGCCGCTACTGCCCCAAGCCCGCCGTCCCCAGGTCAACGCCTGGACCGGGAGGCCTTCCTGCCGCCTCACCTGCGGAGGTGTTTTTCCCCGGCTCCCGATGCTTGCTGGGCCCCCTCGAAATTGGTCGTTTTCCCAGGCCCCTCAAAGGTCCGGGTTCTTCATTGAAACGCCGGCCCTGCATTGGAGGAATCATGAGCCTTAGTACTTAGGGTTCTTCGAATTTGGAAGCCGGAAATTCGAAGCCGAACCGCATCTGACGACCGGGGGAACCGATTTGGAGCGAGACATGCTCCATGCATCTGCTCAGGTGTTGAATAGTGACACTCTTTTCGACCACCCTAAAACAGACAAACAATGGACCCCTGGATGGAAACCGAAAGGAAAGCCAACCATGTTGAGGGTCCATGTTCTAGAAACTTGGCTGACTATGCCGCAGGGATCATACCAAAAAGAATAGCCTCAACTCAGGTCCCACTGACCCCATTGAGAGGTCAAAAGGAAAGGGAAAGCTTGTTTTGAGCTGGATGTTCAAAGACTGCAGCTGCAACCCTGAAATGAAAGGACATGTATCAAAAAGGCGCACAAATACGGGGCCAAAATTGTAGGTCACCAAAAACTCAACCCCTCCCAAAAACTGATGGAAGCGCGTAAAACATTTACCATCCACTGGGAATACGACTTGCCCCACTGCAAATACCTTTCAATAGTGACACGCTTTTCCACCACCCTAAAACAGACAAACAATGGACCCCTGGATGGAAACCGAAAGGAAAACCAACCATGTTGAGGGTCCATGTTCTAGAAACTTGGCTGACTATGCCGCAGGGATCATACCAAATAGAATAGCCTCAACTCAGGTCCCACTGACCCCATTGAGAGGTCAAAAGGAAAGGGAAAGCTTGTTTTGAGCTGGATGTTCAAAGACTGCAGCTGTAACCCTGAAATGAAAGGACATGTATCAAAAAGGCGCACAAATATGGGGCCTAAATGATTGCCAAGTTGGCCGTCTGGCACACACGAAATGGTCCCAACCCCTCATGTGTTCCTTTTGGGGAAGTCGATAGGTTCTTTAGGCCAGCGATGGCATGGGAATCGGCGAAATGGGCATGCCGCAACGTCAGCTTCCTCCAAGTGGTGGTGTGGATTGCGTTTGGAGGTTGGGGTTAGCTCCCCACGAACCTTCAACACGAACTCCCAACCACCAATCCAAGCCACCAATTCGATATAGCCACGCCAAAAAACGGAATTGAGGCTCCCAAAAGCACACACCCGAATGCTATGCCCATGAGGGTCTGTCTTAAAATAGGAGCCGGAAATGGCCCGGATCACCAAGCTCGCGGGGAAAAAATGTCAGTGTGCGTGTGGGTGTGTGATTTCTTTGTTGCGGCTGCCCTTTTCTCTCGAGCCCAAAGCAAGGCCAAAGAAAAGGCACAGGCGCTCAGGTTTCGGAAGCCAGCCATCTCTTATCTCCTCGCCACAAAAATTGAATGGAAGTAACGGAATATCCTCCGAAGCAAATGCACATGAATTGTAGCTGGTTGGACCCTCTAGCGGACATCATTTGTAGCTATATATATAAAGAGAGAGGGAGAATGTATGTATGTATGTAATTTACTGTACTGTGCTGTACTGTCCTGTACTGTACTGCAATGGAATGTACTGTACTGTACTGTAGTGTACTGTGCTGTGATGTAATGCAATGTCATGTAATGTAATGTTTTCATGCATGCATGTATGTATGTAGGTCCACCAACCAGGTTTGAAGGTGCTCTAAAGGGCCGCCCGAGCTGCTCTGTCCACGTCATGTGATGCGGAACGCCAATGCCATCGTTCAAAGGGGTTGCTGAGATTGTGGCTCCAGTCAAAGGCTTCTCTGAGGGCTCGATTTTGCGATTTGCATTGTTCAGTGTCTTTGTCGCATTGCCCCTTCATCAACAAAAAGGAATCACAGCAACCATGCCCGCCAGAGAGTTACGTCTGTCCATCTGAAAAGAGCCCTCACGAGGCCTAACAGGAGCCGACTGGAAACTTCCAAACCTTACATCTTCACAACGACTTTTGGCACTAAGCGCCCCCACTAAGTCAAGTTGCATCCGCCCGAGACCTGGCCGTCTGTGGGGCAAGGGAGAGTGGGAAGTCGCCCAAAATGGCCCGAGAGAACCAAGGGGGACCGCCGGAACCAGCGAGTTTTGACGAGCCCGCAAAAAATGGCCAGTGAGACGGGAAATCAAATGACCAATGCGTTTGGAGCGAAAGGCCAAAGCCGAGACTGTTACAGCTCGCATCATCGTATGGAACAATGCAAGGACATGTTCATTAGCAAGAATACACCCGTCAAACAACAATCCTGCTATGTTTGCGGCGGCCTTCCGATAGTGAAACAAGAAAAACGGGGACGTCCCGTAGTCTGACCCCCATTTTCTGGTCCCATCCCTTTTGAACAGGCAAACGCGTGCCAACGGATTGCCAAAGACCCGAATGCAGGCCTTGCTGCCCATAGGAGCAGCGGATCGTGGCGGCACTCTGAGCCGCAAATTCGAACGCCAATGGCACCAGCCCCTTTGCGGCAACTCAACACATTCCTCAACATTGAAGTTCACAGGCCACTTTTCCTAGAAAGGAAGTCTTCCAAAAGGAGTCTGGGTACCAAACCATCTTTGGTTGGAGAGTTCCATGGCAACCACACCCACATGGCAGGAGAGCCAGGCACTTTTGCCGGAAATCACTCGGAATCGGCAGCTCGCAGTTGTCAATTGAACAACCTCACAGCATTGTTTTGTCCACACACACACACCAGTCAGTTCTTGTCTGCACGAAACGTTTGCTCAAAGCGAAAAAAAAATATGACGGGTGGCCCGAAAGCAAAGCAACACGTTAAATCAATTCTGACACCTGCCCCACCTCATGAGAAACAAAGCGTAAACACGTCAATGTCCCTGCTCAAGCCTAGCCTCTGCAAGTTCTGATGAGCAAGCTTAGCATCATGCTTCCCAATGTCCGGTGTCAGCTTTTGTTGCGCGCGATGTTGTGACTTGATCACGCTTCGCATCATGTTGCAAATCATGCTGCGCGTGACGCTGTGCGTGATGTTTCTACAACACTTCTTGTCCACTCTTTGTGCCGTTTCTTTGAATCGCGGACACCTTCCTCTTGACAGACCGGGGCCGCTACCTCTACTGGGTCGACGCCGCGCTTGGGACTCTGAACTGGGCGCTGCTGCCGGAAGGCGCCTACACGGGCGCTCGGCTTTCGCTACTGCCACCTACAGCGAGACCACGAACAGCCTGAGCGTAGCCTACGACGGCAACCGCCTCATCCTGAACGACCTGGAGCTGCAGCAGCAGTTCCCAGACGCTGTGGACTACCCTGCCGCGCCGCCCGCCTCTCCGACCAAGCCCTTCAGCGTGGACCACATGCTCGGCCCGAGCTTCGTCTCAGGCGGGCAGCAGGTCTTCGAGTTTGTCAGGATGATGGCATACAGCGAGGTCTACCTGCGCTGCGCCCAGCTGGCCAAAGCCGCGTGTTGGGCAATCTGGGGGACGACATCCTGTCCAAGATAACGCTGAAGAGCGGCGTGGGCACCATTGTGGAGACCGGCTCCGATGACGGGCACTTCATGGCTGTGAGGGGCCCCATCACCCTGAGACACATGCGCTTCCGGCTGACCGATCTGGAAGGGCAAGTCGTCCGACTGAGGGGCTCGTCGTTGTCGTTCGTGCTGTTTTTGGATCACGTCTAATCACCCGAAAATCTTTTAAAAAAATATTTCCTATCAAAAAAACCCGATGAAGCAAGCGCAACCGGCGCCAAGGCCAAGAGGCAGGCCCCCGGGCAGCAAGAACAAGCCCAAGCCGCCTGTGCTGCCCCTGCCGAAGAGCAAAAAAATGATCCCCGACCTGCCCACAAAGCCAGCATACGAAATCGACTCCCCCTTCCGACCAAGAGGGTGAGATTTCCCAGAGCAGCGCCGCCCAAGGCAAGCCCAAGGCAAGCGCGCTCCCCCCGCCCAAGCCCAAGGCAGCAGCCAAGACAGCAGCCATGCCCAAGGCAGCACCCAAGACAGCACCCAAGGCAGCACCCAAGGCAGCACCCAAGGCAGCACCCAAGCCCAAGGCAACACCCAAGCCCAAGCCAGCCTCCAAGGCAGCGCCCGAGCTCGAATCACACTTAGAGCCCGAGGTACGAGCAGAGTCCGAGCTACAGCCCGAGCCCGAGGTACGGCCCGAGGTACACAGCGAGGTACGGCCCAAGAGCGAAGAAGCGCCTCGGCCGAGCAAGTGCGCCACGCGCGTGCTGGAGAGGCAGTCGGCCTACGACCGGCTGACGGCGGGCGCTAGCGTACTGGTATGAAAAGCGAGATGAACCCCGCAACGAGCCGCAGATGCTTCGGTGGTTCCGCAAGACCTAGCCCAGTTATGACCTGCAGCCGCTGCTGCAAAAGCGCCAGCGGGAGCTGGAGGAGGCGCGGGCCTTCATGGCTGGGAGAGCGCAGGCTGGCTCAGGAGGGGCAGCGGCACCTGGACGACGTGAGCCGGCTGTAGTGCACCGCCAGGTACCCCAGCTGCGCTACGCGCGCGCCGAGCGCCGGGGCTTGAACGCGCAGCGGACGAAGTTGCCGCGCAGTAACGGATAAAAGAGATGAAGGGGCTTCGGTCCCACGGCTTCAACCAGCGCCCGCGCTTCGAGCAGGTTGTGGGCTACATTGAGCGGGGGGCTGGACCAGCCGGACCGCAAGGCCACCACGTTCGTCACAAGTCACTTCCAGCGAGGACCCCAACCCGCAGCCTCTGCAGCACACGCCCCTGCGGGCAATTCCCAAGAAGGCTTCCGCACACCCGCTGAGGCCACGGACGATGCGCCAAGGCCACGGAGGAAACCGCTTCGTTGAGACGACCTTGCAGGAGACCCCGAGGCCGACGCCCTGACAAACAACGGTCAGGGCCCGCCCTCCATCACTGGCGGTTTGCGCAGACAGCCACCTCCGCAGATCATCGGTCGACCCGACGACGTAGAGCGCCCTCTCTCTTTAGAGGGGGTTTCCCAAATGGGTTCTGCTTTTTTTTGCTACACATCTGCAGGCTGTGGATAGCGCTGCAAAGCGATTTTGGAACTTGGCTGTACGCGTAGCTTCTGCTCTGCAAAGAGTCGCTTGCACGCGCATCTCACCTCACAAAATCATCTGCAAGCTCGTCAATCACATCCCATCCGTCCAGCTTGTCCGCAAATTCTCGTCTTGTCAAATCCTTTGGGTTCTTTCGCCAAGGCGCATCTTCTTGCGGGTGCGAGAAGACGATGTAGAAGACTCGCTGCAACTTGCCTTCCAAGTCTTACGCGGCACCTCCGCCAGCTCCTGCGCTGGCTGGTCCTCTGGCGGCTGCGGGCCTGCCGGCGGGGGCTTGGCCAACTTCTTCCCTTGCGTCTTGTTCCGCGGGGTTGGCCCGCCGACTGCCTTTGCCCACCTTCTTGTCTGCCGTCGCCGGGCTTCGCCCTGTTTTGCTGGACTTCGTCCTGCTTGGGCCCAGCGCTGCTGCTGCGTGCAGTAGTAAGGAAAGGCAGCTTATAGGGACTTAACTATTTGGGTTTTTTGGCCAAAAAACGCGCCAAAACTGCATAATTTCCAACCAGCTGAACTCGTCACCAGCGATGTCACCGCTTCGTCACCGCTCCGTTTTTGGTGCAAAAAGCGCTGAAAACGGCAAACTCCGAAAAGTTCGTTTTTTCGTGTCAGGCGTCAAATGTGCTGCCTGAGCCACCATATTCGGTCGAAATCGGGCTCCAGACGTTCGCCGTGCTCGGATTCCGTTTTCTGCCTGAAAAGCCTGCAAATTCCAGCCCGCTGAGCTTGTCACCGTTCGTCTTTTCTTTGTCACCGCTCGCTTTTAGGTCGAAAAAGTGCGCAAAAGCGGCCCCAGTTCCGGAACTCGTTCTTTGCAGGGTTTTCCGCGGTCCGACAGCCCGCCGAGGACAGCCCGCCGAGGTGGTCCGTCAGCCCGCCGAGGTGGTCCGTCAGCCCGCCGAGCTTGTCACCGCTGATGTCACCGCTCCGTCCGGCTCCGTTTTTGGTGCAAAAAGCGCTCAAAACGGTCGCCCCGCAGGTCATAACCACTGAGACAAGTGTCCTATAAAACTATGCACACAATGCATAGCTTCACCGGTCAATTCGTCATGAGGCCGAGGTGTCCCAAGCGTTTTGACCGACGCCATCGGTCACTTCATCAGAGGTCTCATAAGTGAAGGATACTTTCCCTCACTTCACATACTGCTAAGGGCTGTTGCGAGGTGAGAAATAATTGTACCACCCAGCGCTACGAAGGCCCCGAATGACCCATAGCGACTCAAGGGAGGGCGTGTTGCGAAAGTACAACACCCTTATTCCTTTCACCACCCTTGTTTGTTAATATCTGACAAATGAAAAGATCGCGGACAACGCTGCTCTTTTCCTGCTAAGGCAAACACGGGGGAAGTCCGTTAAAAAGGCGACCCTGTCTGGCGACAAGGTCTGCAACCATCACCCCCCACCTTGTCTAACGACAAGCCTGGAAAGGTTTACACAGGGATGGGAGGGCGGGCAAAAATTTCACTGTTGTTCAGTGCGTTGCAACAAAGGGGAACCCACCACACCCACCCACTCGAGAAGAATGGCAACGACGGCGCCATTTACATGCATAAATGACAAACCTTGCAAAGAACCAATAAAGCAAGGCACACGGAAATTCACCAACAAAAAAGTGAATTTCCCACAAAGGAACAAAGGGGGCTCAGAAATAAAGACACATCCACCTTTGGTTGACGTAAGTCTTATTCCTTTCACCACCCTTGTTTGTTAATATCTGACAAATGAAAAGATCGCGGACAACGCTGCTCTTTTCCTGCTAAGGCAAACACGGGGGAAGTCCGTTAAAAAGGCGACCCTGTCTGGCGACAAGGTCTGCAACCATCACCCCCTTGCCATCTTGCGAGCATGTCGTCCACAGAAAGCAAGCCAATCGAATTCAACCTTCACACCAAGGCATTCCGATGAAACATCGCCCCTTGAGGGCAAGTCTGCAATATTCGAAGCAGTGTTCACTCTCTCATACCAGATTGACATAGAGTTGCTGTCTTCGCAATCGCAGGTCAAATCGATGATGAGCTGTGCTTTTGAATTCTCACTGCCGCATTTCACAAAGGAGCTCAACGCGCCTTCGTTGTCTGTAAAAACGATAACATTCCTTCCCTGAAGCTCAGCACACCACTGCTCCAAAGCCATCAGAATCACTAAACACTCAAGTTCGAAGATCGGATTTTTGCTTTCAGCCGTGACCCACTGCAACACGCTCTCCTCCTTCGTAACGCAACTGAAGAAAAAGCGAGCTCCGCTTTCTGGAAGAAGCAGAACACCTCCCAACCCGACCGGGAAAGAAGCACTTGGTTCAAAAGATGCATCAACGAAGACATGAACAGTGGAGTCAGCAAGCTTCTGCAAAAGTCGGGGCCGTCCAAAATCAATCTTGTCGCGAAGCCATGTTAAAGCAGCCTTGCAC